TGCACGGGCATAAAGACTGACATGGAAGAGAATAGAACAGAAGTAGATCCTCTCACATATGGTCAAAAATTTTCACCCTATATTCACCAAATTATTTTTTAAATTTTATTTATTTTATTAGTGTAAATTAATTGTACAAAGAGGTTTCATTGTGATATTTATGTATATACATATAATGTACTTTGGCCAATTCCACTATTTCTATTACTTTCTTAACACCTCCCATTTTAACAGTTTTGATGGGTTTCATTACTGCTATTTTCTTACATGTATACTTTGATCATATTCACCCCCCACCACTCTTTCCTTTCCCAGTCCTGCCTTCCATCGGTTCCCCACAGTAGTCCCTCTTTTATACAACAAATCACTAGGCTTTTTGGCAGTAATGGGGTTTGAACTCGGGGCCTTGCATTTGCTAGGCAGGCTTCTCCCACTTGAACCACACTGCCAGCCCTACAACTTGTTTTCTTAATTAGCATATATGAATTGTACAAAGTAAGGATTTATTATAAAAAACCCATTAGGTACTTTGGTAATATTCACCCCCTCTTACTACTCTTTCTCATACCTCCTCCACTCTCCCCATTTTCTCCTTCTGCATCACTAGTATCCCTGCTTTTACTTCCATGTCCTCCTTTTTCTCTCTAGATTCCATATATGAAAGAAAGCATTCAATACTTGTCTTTGTGGGACTGGCTAATTTCACCTACTATAGTTATATCCATTTTCCTGCAAACAGTGTAATTTCATTCATCTTCATGACTAAGTAAAGCTCCATTGTGTATATAGACCACATTTTCTTTATCTATTCATCTATTGAGAGTCATCTAGACTGAATAAACTGCAATAAACATTAGTACACAGGTGTATCCATGTAAGCTGACTTTGATTCTTTTGGTTCTATAATCGGAAGTAGTATGGCTGGATCATATGGAAGTCATATTTTTAATTTTGGGGAAAACTTCATACTGAGTTCCATAGTGGATGGACTAATTTTACATTCCCACCAGCAATTAATAGGGTTACTTGTCCTTCCACATTCTTGCCAGCATTTGTTGTTGTTTGTTTTCTTGATGATAGCCATTCCGACTGGGATAAGGTAAAATCTCAATGTAGCTTTGATTTGCATTTCCCTGATGGCTAAAGATGTTTTTCATGTATATATTGACCATTTTTACTTCTTCCTTTGAAGTGTCTGTTCAGTTCCATTGCCCATTATTGATTGAATTATTTGCTCTCTTGTTAATTTTTTTTTTTTTTTTGCAGTGCTAGGGATCAAATCTAGAGCCTCACACATGCTAGGCAAATGCTTTACCACTGAGCTATACCTACAGTGCTCTCTTGTTAATTTTTGAGGTGTTTATGTATTCTAGATTTTAATCCTCTGTCTGATGAAGAGCTGCAAAGACTTTCTTTCTTTCTGTATGCTGTCTCTTCACTCTGATTATTGTTCTTTTTGCTGTGCAGAAGCTTTTTAATTTGATGCAACATCATTTGTCAATTCCTGCTCTTATGTCTTGAACAATATAGTCCTATTCACAAAGTCCTTGCCTACTGAAGTGTTTTCTGTATGTTCTCCCATAATAGATTCAGAGTTTCAGGTCTCACACTAAGGTCTTTGATCCATTTTGAGTTGATTTTTGTACATTATGAGAGGTAGGATCTAGTTTCAGTCTTCAACATGTGGATAGCCAATTAAAGGGCCTTTTTCCAATGTGTATTTTTAACACCTTTGTCAAGAATCAGATGACAGGACCTGTTTAGGCTTATTTCTGGATCTTCTATTCTATTATACGATCTATAGGTCTGTTTTTGTGCCAGTAGCATGCTGTTTGTTTGTTTTTAACTATGGGTCTGTAGTATATATTGAAGTCAGGTATTGTGTTACCTCCACAACATTGCTCTTTTTTGCTCAGGATTGCTTTGACCAATAGGGGTCTTTTGTGTTTCCATGTGAATTTTTTCTATTTTTGTGAGAAATGACATTGGAATTTTGATGGGGATTATATTGAATCTGTATATCACTTTTGGTAATGTGGCAATTTTAGCATTATTTATTCTGCTGATTCATTAGAGAGGTTTTTCCACCTTTATAGTTTTCATTGTAGAGCTTTTGAACATCTTTGGTTACGTTTATGCCTAGGATACTTTTTGAGGCTATTGTGAATGGGATTATTTTCCTGATTTCTTTTTCAGTGAGTTAATTGTTGATGTATAGAAAAGCTACTGATTTTGTATGTTTTTGTATTCTGCTACTTAGCCAACAGTGTTTACCAGATCTAGGAGTTTTCTGGTACAGTCCTTAGGATCTTTTAACTTCTTCCTTTTCTGTTTGTATCCCTTTTATTTCTGTCTCTTATCTTGTTGTTCTGGCTAAGAATTGAAGCACTGAATTGAATAAGAGTGGTGACAGTGGACAGCATTTTCTTGTTCCTAATTTTACAGGAAATGAATTAAGTTTTTCCCCATTTAGAATAACGTTGGCTATAGATCTGTCATATATAATTTTTATTATGGTGGGGTAAGAACCTTCTATTCCTAGTTTTTTCAGAGCTTCTGTCTTGAAGGGATATTTGATTTTGTCAAAGACTTTTTCTGTATCTATTGAGATGATTTTGTGATTCTTATACTTTCTCCTGCTTGTATACTTCATTATGTTTACTGATTTGTGTATATTGAACCATTCTTACATTCCTGGAATGAAACCAACTTGATCATGATGTATGATCTTTTTAATGTGTTGTTAATTTTGTTTTACAAGCATTTATTGAGGACTTTTGCATCTAGTTCATGAAGGAAATTGGCCTATAATTTTCTTTTTTTGTCTTTATCTGGTTTGAGTATCAGGGTAATATTAGCTTTATTGTGAGTTTAGGAGTCTTTATTCCCTTTCTATGTTATGGAATATTTTGAGAAGTATTGGTGTTAATTCTTTAAAAGTCTCATAGACTTTAGTAGTGAATCTGTCTGGTCCTGGGCTTTTCTTTATTACAGGTTTATTACTATTATTATTATTATTTTATTCTCATTGCTCCTTATAGATTATTTGTATCTTCTTGGTTCAGTTTTGGTAAGTCATATGTGTCTAGAAATGCATCCATTTCTTCTAGATTTCCAATTCACTGGAGTATGTGTTTTCAAAATATTGCCTAATAATCCTTTCGAATTCAATGGTATCTGCTGTAATACTTTTTTCATCTCTAATTTTGTTAATTTGTGTCTTCTCTTTCTTTTGGTTAGTTTGGATAAGGGTTTGTCAATCTTGTTTATTCTTTCAAAGAACTACCTTTTTGTTTCATTGATCCTTTGTATTATCCTTTTAATTTTTATTTCATTAATTTCAGCTCTGATGTTTGTTATTTCTTTCCTTCTACTAATTTTGGAAATGACCAGATCATTTTGACTATATATATGTGTGTGTTCTAAGACCATTCAATGGGGGAAAAGACAGTATTTTCAACAAATAGTGCTGGGAAAACTATATATTTGCATGCAAGAGAATGAAGGTGGATCCTTACCTAATATCCTATAAATATGGATAAAAGTGTCTGAAGATAGAGCTAAACTATAAAACTTTCAGAAGAGTCAGGCACTGGTGGCTCACATCTGTAATCCTAGCTACTCAGGAGGCAGAGATCAGGAGGATTATAGTTTGAAGCCAGCACGGCAAATAGTTCACGAGACCTTATCTTGAAAAAAATCCATCACAAAAAAGGGCTGGTGGAGTGGCTTAAGATGTTGGTCCTGAGTTCAAGCCCAGTACTGCAAAATAAATAAATAAATAAAAATTTTAAAACTTTCAGGAGAAAACATAAGTTTCATGACATTGAATTTGGAAATAATTTCTTGTATTGACACCAAAACACAGGCAATAAGAAAAAATGGGCAAATTGAACTTCATCAAAATTGAAAATGTTTATGCATGAAAAGACATTATTGGTTTTGGGGAATGGCTCAAGTGGTAGAGTGCCTACCTAGCAAGCCTGAGGCCCTAAGTTCAAACTCCAATACTGAAAAAACAAAAAAAAATTAAAAAAAAGGGAAGTAAAACCCACACAGAAGGAAGGTGTTTGTAAATGCAAATACAAAAATGGATAAAGCACTTGAATAGACATTTCTCTAAAAAAGATATTCAAATGGCCAGTAAACATATGAATATAATCAACACCACTAATAACTGGAAATGCAAATCAGAGCCACAATTAGAGTGATACCACCTCACACCTACTAGGATGGCTACAAATCAAAAACAAAGAAAATGCTAGTGGGGATATGGAGAAATTGGAACTCATATACTGTAGGTGGGAATTTAACATAGTATGGAAAATAGTTTGGTGGCTTCTCAAAAAAAGGAAACATTGATTTACCATATGATTCAGATTTTCACTTGTAATAATACCTAAAATAATTGCAAGCAGGTGTTTAATCAGATATTTTTATACCCATGTTAATTTGGGTAGGGAAGCAACCTAAAAGGCCCATCAGCAGATGAATGAATCAATATAGTTTAGTATAATCACACGATGGAATATAATTCAGCCTTAAGAAGGAAAGAAATTTGGCACATGATACAGCATAGATGAACCCTGAAGACATTATGCTACATGGAAAAAAGCCAGTCACAAAATAACTGTGTGATTCCACTTCTATGATGCACCTAGACTCAAACTTATGGAGAAAGAAAATACAGTGCTGGTTAAATGAGGGGTGGCAGGAGATGAGGTCAAGGTATTGTTTAGTGGGTACAAAGTTCTGCAAGACGAAGAGTCATGGATATGAATAATGGCAATAGTTGCACAATATGATTATACTTAATAACACTGAACCATACACTTTAAAATGCTAAATTTTTGTTACATATTTTTCCAAAGTAAACAGTGTATGTGGTGAAATATCTGTTGTGTGATGGGCACTCAGCCAGTATCAGCCATGTCCAGTTCATACCTTTATATCCATAGCACATTGTTTCTTGGCCTGTGCTTCTTCCTTTTCACTTTTAGATGAAATTGAGAAAATAGAAGAGGAGGAAAGTGATTTATTTGAAGGTCTGTCAAGTCAACAGATCTTTCTCTGGCTGCAAGGACTCTTCCTCTTTTCCTTGGTATGGACTGTGGCTGGCACCATCAATGCAGAGAGCAGAAAGAAATTTGATGTGTTTTTCCGCAACCTTATCATGGGCATGGATGACAACCACCCAAGACCTAAAAGTGTCAAACTCACCAAAAACAACATCTTCCCAGAAAGAGGTAATTTCATCCTTGTTTATTATGTCCTGTTGTAATAGTTGGAATCATATGTCCAAAACCCAACCAAAATATGGGGACCATGTAATAAAAGCTAAGGAAGAATGCTTAGTTTTCTGAGTGGGTTCACTTCTTCAGAGCTGACCCATGTGTGTAAGATATAGGTAGTCCTGAAATCGGTTTTCTGGGCTATTTAATTGATTTTTTTAACTTATAAAAAGATAATAGTATAGTTTTATTTTTGTTTGGGGTGGTTTTTGTTTTATTTGCAAAAATTACCCATAATTCCATCACCAAACAGAATAACAAGTATCTCTAGTTTTTTTTTTTCTTACCCGTTGTTAGTCCTGTTCTGTGTGTTTATGTTTTATATCATGGTGATTATGACATTAATATTTCTTTCAATTTTGACATTATAGCCTAATATATTGAAATGTTTCCACTTTTGCTACATAATCTTCAAAACAATTACTTAATGGCTACAAATATTCTTTTATGTATGTGATACTGTTTACTAAAAGAAAGGTGTTTAGTTTTTGCTGTTTTTTCTATCATCCAAGTAATACATTATATAAAACTTAGAAAATATAGAGAAAAAAATAGAAGGAAATTAAAATCAATAATAATCTCATTATCCAGAAAGTTCACTTTTGTGGCTTTTTAAAGTTTTTTCTGTGTTTCTGTAACTTAAGGAAGATCATATATATGCTTTCCAAATGGCTTTACTTTTTGATTATAAAAAAGAACACATGAAGAGCCACGAGGGAACATCCACGGGTGACAGTTATGTATATGTAGGTGAGATTTGGATTACAGGAGTACATATACATTTGCCAAAACTTAGTGAAGGTAGCTTAAGATATGTGTATTTTATTGCAAATTTTATCCCAAAAGAAAAAAACCATACGAGCAAAGGTGGAGCCCTAGTTAATTATATGTGTGCTGAAGTTTTTATGCTTGAAATTTTATTTTGAAATGTTTCAAAAAAATAAAATGGATTAAAGGGTAGAAAGAAGGACAAAATGGTATGTGATAAAACAAGTAAAAAGCTAATGGTAAAATCTAGGAGATAGGTATACAAATGTGCAATGTTTCAGTGTTTATGCTTGAAATTTTTTCATGACAATAAAACAATCAAAGGGGGCAAGCATGGTGGCTCATGCCTGTAATCTCAGCTACTTTGGAGACAGAGGTAGGAGAATCATGGTCTGAGTTCAGTCCAGGGAAAAGAACAAGAACCTATCTGAAAAACAAACTAAAAGCAAAAGGATTTGGGTTGTGGCTCAAGAGGTAAAGTGCTGCACCAGGCCCTGAGTTCAATCCCCAGTCCCCCCCCCTCCCCTGAGAAAAAAGAGCAAGTACCTGCCACTGTCCTTGCCCTCACACTCCTTCCCATTCACACCTAGGCCACTTATTGCAATACACAGCATTGGTCAGATGATTTGAATGAAGGCCCTGTACAAATCCATTAGTTGGATGGTAGTTATTTGTTCATTTGGGGAGAAGATATTGTTCTTTCTTTTTTTACTGTGGTAAAATATACATTACATAAAATTTACCATTTTATCAACATTTTAATTCAGTGGCATTAAGTACATTCATGCTGTTATACAACTGTCACCATTATCCAGAGTCAGTATTATGGAAAAAAGTTTGGAAAAATTGAAACTGCATTCCCATTTAACAATAACTACCCATGGCCCTTCCCCCCTTCCTTGGCAACAACCATTCTACTTTCTATCACCATAAATTAGATTACACTAGGTACCTCATGTAAGCAGAACTATATAGTACTTGCCTTTTTGTGATTGTCTTATTTCACTTGGTGTAATGTCTTCAGTGTTCATTCACGTACTATTGTAGTATGTGTTCTTTTAAAGAATAAATAATATTCCATTTCATGGGTATTCTACATTTTATTTATCTATTTACCCATTGATGAACACTTGGGTTGCTTCTACCTGTCTTTTGTGAATAAAACTACTATGAACATGGGTGTGTAGATATCTGTTTGAGTCCCTGCTGTCTTTAGGGGACATATACAGAAGAAAAGGAGGGGATCACATGTTAAGTCTATATTTAATTTTTTGAGGGATTAATATGAATTGAACTCCGGGCCTTGTGCTTGATAGGCAAACAGTTTACCACTTGAGCCACACCTCAGTCCTATGTTAAATTTTTTTGAGGAACCACCATACTGTCTCCTATTGTAGTTGCTCTGTTATACATTCCCACCAATAGTGCACAAGAGTTCCAGTTTCTCCACATCCTCACCCACTCTCCACTCTGTGTGTGTGTGTGTGTGTTTTAATATAATAGCCAGCCTCATTCATATGACATTCATCCCTATTTTTAAGAAACCAAATTGAACAGATCAAGAAAGAATATATAAAAAAAATCACAGTTAACATTTTCATGGCCATACTTTTAATTTCCTATGCATATATGTGCCTAAAGATTTATTTACAAATATGAGATCGCTGTGTATTTTTGCCTCCTAGGTTTTGCTATCGTTAACAATGTTGTAATAAACAACATTCTGGTGACTACATAGTTGCTTAATCCATGATTATTTCCTTAGAATAACTTCTTAGGTAGAGAATTGCAGAGTCCAGAGGTCAGTAACATTTTAGAGCTTTTGCTTGCTAAATTTTCCTTGTGCTTTCACAGAGACTGACTTTTGAAATCTTGGGCAATTTGGAATGTGAAAGGAGTTTTAAGGTTCTTTGTATATTTTGGAATGAGTCTTTTATCAGGACTTGATGTGTTTTGCAGGCATTTTCTCTTAGATTGTGGCTCAGTTTTTAAATCTTTTTAACAGTCCCTTTTGCAGAGCAGATATTTTTAAATGTTTTATTAGTATATAATAACTGTATGAGGGGCTTCATTGTGACAGTTCCATATATACATACTGTTAGGGTTCGAGAATCCTATTCCTCCGAGAGACAGAGAGTCACGTGTGAATGCAATCAACAAAGCAGAGTTTATTGAGATGGCAAGCCAGGGTCAAGCTCCCACACAGACGCACAGGTCCGATTGGGCAGACAAGACCCCGAGCCTCTTTAGGGAAGATCTTATATAGGCCCCTACCGGCCGTTACAGCAAAAGCCCACACAGTACATAGCCAATGAGTTGTAACACCACATACATTTCCAGCCTATCCATTTAAGAGTACATTACTTCTTAGCCTATAGATTCAAGGGTCAGTATTCGCGTACGTGGTTACATTTAGCAAGCAGGCAGGGCACATCTTGCACGTACTTCTAGTCGTCTTTCGCAATCTGCTCACATTCCTCACATTCCACCTGCCCCCATCCTGTTTATCTTATCCTGCACGGGGCATCCTGTGCTGGCTTTACTGGTTTCTGCTATGGGGATCTGCTGGGGCAAAGGGCACATCCTTTCATTCCCCTCTTTTCTTTGGGCTATATTGAGGAATCATTCTCAAGGGGATGAAGAGCCTGGTATTGTTGGCGGAGGACCAGAAGTTGGACAGTGTTAATTCGGTTTTTGATGAAAGTCACAAGTCGGTTTAGAATACAAGGTCCTATGGTGACCAGTAACAGGAGGATTACTATCGGCCCTGCTAGTGCAGACAGGAGGGTAGCTAACCAAGGGGACTGGTTGAACCAAGATTCGAACCAGCCTTCCCTGGCCTCTTTTTCCCTTTTTCGTTGCTCTAGGCCTTCCCGAAGTTTGGACATAGAGTCGCGAGCAACCCCAGTGTGGTCGGCGTAAAAGCAACTTTCCTCCCCTAGAGCCGCACAGAGGCCACCATTCTTAAGGAACAGTAGGTCCAGTCCCCTCCGGTTCTGGAGGACTACCTCGGATAGGGAAGTTAGGGATTTTTCAAGGTGGCTAATGGATTTTTCAATACGGTCTAGGTCCTCATCGATGGCCGCCCTGAGGGAGGTGAGGCCGGAGTGCTGAGTGGCCAGAGAGGCTATGCTGGTACCCGTCCCTGCCAGGCCTATTCCAAATAGGGTAGTGATGGTTAGGGTGGTAATGGGCTCCCTTTTTGCCCGGTGGCGGTCGGACCAGTAAAGAATGGGATATTCAGCTGGATGGTAGAGGATTCTAGGCACCACTATCACCATCAGGCAGAATTCCCGGGAGGCATTGAAGACCAATCCAGCCAAGTGGGGGGTCAGCCCGTTCAGTGAGCATGCCCACCAGGCACCTCTGGCCGGGGTTATCCAATGGGAGGCATTCCAGTTTGAGTGCTCAATTATAGTAGCTCACAATTTTTTATTTCCTTTTGGGACCTGCCCTACACAAGTCCCTTGGCCACTGACCTGAGCCATGGTCAGGCCGGCGGGTCGGGCCTCCCAACCCGTTGGAGTGGTGGTGTTGACTACAAAAGAGGAATTGATTCCAATAGCCTCGTAGAAAGGGGGCGAAGGGCTGTAGCAAAGCCAGCAAGCCTCAGTTAGATTAGGGGCTGTCCTATTCAAGGTCTCAAATGTAGCAAACAGCAAGGTCTCCAGGGGGCTAGGTGGTACAGTGAAGGGAACGGTGGTGTGGGTTCTGGGGGTGTCACTTTGGGACTCTGAGAGTTGTTGGGAGTGGTGTTCTGGGGCATCCGGGGAGTTGTGCGTGGAACCAATTTTGCCTCAGACAACTCTGGCTTTAACACAGGATTAGGCCTTAACACGAGATTAGGTCCTATTGTTAGAGTAGAGACTGGTTGTCGCACATGCCGCAAGGTAAAAAGGGCTCCTGGATGATTTGTTTTGTAGAGTCTGACTCCCCAGGATTTACCCAATTCCCAATTTGTCACCTTTTTTCCTAAATCAGTGAAATTTATCATAATGGGATTACAATTGGGGGGAGTTGGGCATCCCTTATTTATAGGTCTAGGTTGGTGGTATGTAATACCAGATTGAGAGACTCTACTTAACTGAATAAGGTCCCCCTGTTTGGGGGGTGGCCACCATATGTCCCCTGAGCTCTCACAACCCCATGACTTACAATAATAGTCTGCGATTCCTCCACATTTTTTT